GATGTAGGCCTTCGCTTTGTGGTTGGAATACATTTTGCACTTCCCTGTGCACGCGCACTAGTATCATCTTGTTACAAATATACGCGCAGTCAATTTTTGTGTCAGAGCTTCGCAAACATGCACAGACTTGTTCAACTCTATGAATACGAATGTGAGATGAATACTTGTATTCGTTTCCTGAAGCTTGAAAAGGAAAGTGCTAAGGAAATATTTAAAAAAACATAAACTACTAATTTATCACACAAATTATAGTTAATCAGCGTTATTTTGTTTGAGAATGCCGGAGAAAAGTAAGCACATTATTTTTCATTAAATTTTACTCTTGTACGCAATAGCAAAGATAGATAAATTATGCCAAACATGACTTCAGTTATTAGTGGTTTAATATTCAATGAAAAAATACGAGTACTCCTCAATAGTTCCTTCTTCAAAATTTTGGCCATCGGTATGATTCTCCAGAATCCGAACTAATTGCTGCAAGATGTTCGCTTATGGAGTGTCGGAAAATAAGAAATCCATAACTGTTCAACTGCGTGTTTTTTGAAGAATTTCTCCCATTTGTTTCTTTTCTTTTTTATTCATAGAATTTAAAGTTTACATATAGGAACCATATTAAAGAAATATTATTTTGGAATTAAACTACTTATTTAAGACCTTGCCAGTCATTTTTATAAATACCAAGTAACTTCACAATAAAAGTAACTTTTCTCCATTGTGCCTGGAATGTTCAGATTACGACTTCTTTCTAATTTCCATCATATTAAAACCTTAAACATTCATAACATTCCCCTTCTCGCATACATTTATAATAGCTGAACGCCTATGCCTGCTATGCTAAGAACACACGATTTAAATTTGACTTTTTTTAAATACAGCTGCTAAACTATATGTCTTATTCAAATACATTAATTTACCCCATAGATAACTAATCCCATATCCGCACCTAAAACGAAGTGTGGACAGTAAATTATTGATTATTTGAAGCTTGGACTTCATTGAATCATTTTCGGACAAACAATTGACTCTATGTCTTTTCTGCAACAAAGTTTTGGGCAATGACGCTATGAAACCATCTAAGCTGCAAGATCATCTGAGAAGATGTCATCCTGATAAAGATTTCTTTCAAACTCTCAAAGGTAAACGTCGGAAGAGACCCACGCTGGCCACAATGTTGCGTTCGACTTCACACACACAAAGCATCGTTTGATGGTATTCAGGCGTCTTTTTTAGTAGTTTTAATTAAAACTAAATGAATAAATGTATAAAACTTAACATGTATTTTTATTTCAAATTTTTAATGCTAAACTTGACTACAGTTAGTAGTAGTCAAAACCGAGAAATATGCCACGGCGTCTACGACACAAAACCCATTGGGAACCACTGGCTTAGCCGAATGAATAGCGATGATACTTTGTTCAATTTTTTTTTTCTAGTAAGAAAACTAGCTTTGGGGATGCAATTTAAAACGGACTAAAAGTAATCTGTATTCATAAACGCAATGTTTGTCGGTAACTTTTAGTTAAGAATTATCGATGATAATTTAAATGGACCACATTTTCTACCTTTAGAATTAAATGTGGTGTCCATTTTCATTTTCAACAAGAACTATATCTTTTGCTAGAAAATGTAGCCCTGTTAACAATAAAAGCTATGAATTACATGCATAATGATGCCACAGCACAGTTTAAATGTGTGAAGGTTGAAATTATAAGTTTTGAAACTGCTAGATCTTTTTCATTCGCCGCATCGATTCCCAGATTTAAATCCTTTGGTATCTGTGGATATCAAATTATCTGTACTACTCTAATACAGGATATCGAAGACCTAAGAAACAGGATAAATGTGTCTTGTAATGTAATAAGAAATAATCCAGGCATACAGGAAGACAATTGTATTTTATCTTGCCTTAGGTGTCTTGCTTATTGGTTTTTATTTGAGTTACATTGTTTAAATAAAATATTTTTAAAGAAGGTATTTCTTTATAGTTTAATTATCGATAGTCAGTTAGTTTCAAAAATGTTTATTGAATGGTTTAGAAGATAATTGATAAATGTTAGACATGCAATACATTTAATTTTTTTTATTTGGAAACAAACACTTTCTAATAAACCAGCTTTTCTTTAAATTTAGTCAAGAAGGGTTCTAATTCGCCTCACTCATTTTAAAAACATTGAAAAAAGTGGAAATTGTGTTTTCGTAATAGTAATACCTATGTAATATTTCATTGTTCTATCGATTTTGCTTTTTAAGATAAAATACAAAAACATTATTTTACATTTACATTTATATAAGAAATTACTCTTAATTTTAAACAAGGAATCACCTCATAATTTGATCGTATTTGCTTTAAAACACCCTGTACATCCCGTTTTACCTATCAGGTAAAAGAATATTATATGGAGGTATAATAGAATATATATATATATATATATATATATATATATATATATATATATATATATATATATATATATATATATATATATATATATATATATATATATATATATATATATAATATATAGAAGTATATGTCGAGCATACGGAGTAGTTCACCTACTTTGAAATACAGGACAAAAAACTCAAAATTTGCAAAATAGATTAAAAGGGCATAAACTTGACAAAATTAAGAAAACCGTCTTAAGAATAGCAAAATTTTGAAAAGAACAAAGTTAAAAAAATAAAAAAATTACAATATTGAAATTTTTGAAATAACAAATTAAATCAAAATCAAAAATTTAATAAACCAGCTTTTCTTTAAATTTAGTCAAGAAGGGTTCTAATTCGCCTCACTCATTTTAAAAACATTGAAAAAAGTGGAAATTGTGTTTTCGTAATAGTAATACCTATGTAATATTTCATTGTTCTATCGATTTTGCTTTTTAAGATAAAATACAAAAACATTATTTTACATTTACATTTATATAAGAAATTACTCTTAATTTTAAACAAGGAATCACCTCATAATTTGATCGTATTTGCTTTAAAACACCCTGTACATCCCGTTTTACCTATCAGGTAAAAGAATATTATATGGAGGTATAATAGAATATATATATATATATATATATATATATATATATATATATATATATATATATATATATATATATATATATATATATATAATATATAGAAGTATATGTCGAGCATACGGAGTAGTTCACCTACTTTGAAATACAGGACAAAAAACTCAAAATTTGCAAAATAGATTAAAAGGGCATAAACTTGACAAAATTAAGAAAACCGTCTTAAGAATAGCAAAATTTTGAAAAGAACAAAGTTAAAAAAATAAAAAAATTACAATATTGAAATTTTTGAAATAACAAATTAAATCAAAATCAAAAATTTAACACGTTTTCTTGGCTAGCTGTTGGTCGGTTCAAATAAGTTAGGCTACCAAAACTAACCAAACCATGGTAAAAAGTATGTGCGTTAGTACGGAGGTTACTATACAAGGGGCGCTAAAATAGAAAGTGGTATAAAAATGTCACAAAAAAGAGAAGAAACAATAAAAAAGGATAAAAACCAACAAGAAAAATGAAGACTTTTTAAGCTTGTTAACAGTCAATCTACCACAAGACTTGAAAGTTAATTGAATTGATACTAACGACGCAAGAAGAGACGATTGTTGATGTCGGCTCGCTTTGTATGTTCGGCCGCAATTTAATCATCATTTAATCCATGTAATTCCCTGCTGGCGATTTGTAATCTTATACTTGTGTGGTGGCAACAGGCCAGGTGTTCCTACGATCTCGAAATCGTTTGCGGAGGTTGAGATCGTTAGAAATTTTCCGCGAATTATTACAATTATTTGAGCGTAATTGCCAGTTTAACCATCTGGTATTCTTACTCGGTATCCACTCGCGACAATAAAACAAAATACTGGGCATTTAATCGTCGACGGGTTTTCCCACGCACACTGACCTGCGTAAAATATACGCTAGCCCAAAATAGATCAATACGAGAGAAAGCTTCAGAGGAATCCATAGATAATTTCATGTGGAAGTTTTGGTTAGAATTAAGCAGGCAACTCGATCAAGATTTGTACGCAAACTCATAAATTTTTACCGTGGAAGTTAATATTTCTGAAGATTATCGAATTTACCGAGGTGATAATTAACCCTAGATATGTACTGGATGTTTCCAAATTCAGTACAATCAAGGGTATATTTATCAGACAAAAACAAGTCATGCGTTCTACTTTTGCCTTTGATCTGCTTTGCTGCTGACTTTGACAAAACATATTTGTCATCATAAACATCATAATTGGTATTTATAGGTAAAATCGTGCTACGGTATTTTTTGTAGATCCATTTTTTTTTTGGTTTTAAAAATCAAAAATAGATACTCTTTGTGTCATACTTCACTCAACAATTTAAAAAATTGATATACTTATTTGTGGTTCTTTAGTTTTGGTAGAGTCTAGAAAGAAATCATTTTTGGTAATTAATTAAATGTAAGTAATAAATGCGATCACTGAATCGTGACGCATTATTATTTAATTCAGGCAGGGAACATAAAGGAAAATGCCGGTTTTCAATTTTTTAAACAAAGCTAGACACGAAAAAACTAATAGTTACCATCTCTCATACGCCACTGAAGTAAATCTTATTTTAATCATACAAAATAAAGACCCTTACTGCGACAAATACGTGGCAAATTTTGGAAAAATCAGCTAAAAGATTTTTGAGTAATTAATATAAAATATTTTTTTCCCATAACTTTGGCCTATTTCAAAAACAAAACATTTAAAAAAAATAGATTTATTTTTGGCTAATATGCCCTTAAAATGTTTGTATTGAAATTTGAAACATTCTGCACATTATTTATATAGCTTCAAAAAAGACATCTTTTTAGAGACAGAAAAATGTGCTTTTTTACCAAATTTAATCATCATTATATATGTTACGACAAATTAAAAAAATGGTCTAGAATTGTTCACCACGCAGAAAATAATTTGGCATGCGCCTCACTCGGGGTAAAAAAGACATGCTTACCAAACACTTTGAGGTTGATTGTGTGTGCGTGGACCACTGTATCGTTGCGAAGAACACACGTGTAGTTGCCGGCATCATCTTCTGTTACTATCTGAGTATAGATCGTTTGGTTGGCACTTTCCGGGAAGAGGACCATTCGGGACAAGCTCAGTTCCCACGGGTATATTTTACCGTCTTTGTACCTGTAACAATTGCTCAGTCAAAGGGCTTGTTAAATAACAATTTCGCAAAGTGAATAACATCTGTTTCTAGTGCTTGGCAAGGAAGAGTAATAAGGACGCAGTTCATCGTTGTAAATCAGTCGCGTCTCGTGCGATTATATCATCAATGGACCGTTTAATCACCACAAAGTATCACAATTAAAGATCAATGGATCAGCTATGACTATATCAGCTGAGTTGAATATCGTTAAGCTTGGAGGCTAAATGATGAAAAACTGATTTTAAAAACAGCTTCGTCTGACTGATGTTAACTTTTAATTTTAGATTTTTTTATTACTAAAATTTTTCGGGAGTTTACAAATTAATATTAAAATTATTATAAAATATTAAACATTTAAGGAAAATAGTGTCAATAAAATTATAATTTATTTCGAGTGGTGGATCTGTATCCACTAAGTTACCACTCGTGTGGGAAATTATCCCTAATTATATCAAGAAATACCAGTAAGTACCAATTAAATTATATCCAATTTCCACTAATTACCACTGTTAATACCAGATTTATAACTCGTACTGCAAGAAAGAATAATTGTGATTTTGTTTCGATTGCATCAAAAAAAATTTGAAAAGGTCTATAATTAGGACCAAGAGTAGGGCAGTAGATAAAACACCAATTTAAAAGTCAAAATATATGCCAAAATGTAACTTAACGAAAGTGTTTAAATTATTTATTTTTACATAACTCACAAGATAGGTATACATATTTAACGTCCCTATAAAGATCCTTTCAGAACTTCATATATTTAATTCAACTATTTTAAGAGAAAACTTCTATCCAATATAGAAGTCCATCGACAATATACTACTTATTTACTTTAACCACGCTATTTTAAGACTGCTTAAAAAGATTTCATTATTAATTTACTTTTGGACACCCCTCATCTTATACTATAAGTATATAACATAATTTCTAGGTATTTTTCGTCCTGTCTCCACAATCAATAATTGGAAAACATATAAAAATATTTGAAAAAGGATGTCACCACACAGCTACGCCAGCTACGGGGTAATTTGGTGACCTTCGAAAGTATTGTAAAAAAGGAATAAACATAAATTGCATTTTGCATCATATACCCTATGTACCCTAAAAGGCGACATTTTCGCGAGTATTAAGTACTATTATTCATATTCAAGATGAAGATAAAAATATTGGGCGATTTTCACTGGTTTGTTGGGCCCTTATTTGACTATCTAATTACGTAAAAAGTCATATCGTTGCATTTTTTCTCATAAAATTGGTTTGTTTACTATTATGGCAGAAAACGCTACCATGTGGAAAGATAAGTAATCGGAATCGCGTCATAGTGCGTTTCATAGTTTAGGAAAAACCCTTTTTAGCGACTGCAAGTTTGACAAAATGCATTAAGCCTTTTTCCTGTTAAAATCATCCTAATGTTCAACTTTAAGATAGTACTCACTTTTTCTATGACCGTCGTTTTCCCTAATACCGCATCTCGTTGCTAGGACGTCCGATATAAATATCACATTTTCGTTGTCACCCATAACACAACCTTGGTTAGCGGTACCTGCCTGAATAAGCGACATTTTGGAAGATGCCACTCGCAAACAAACTTGCTTTCAAAACGATTTGAAATTTCACCAGAAACAAAACCCAGATTGCGGTCCTGCCTTCCTGCGACGCGGCTGCACTACATAACCTTGCCCAATTCGTGGATCGCGTTCGATAACGATGTTCCAAGAAAATTTTAATTATTATAAGGCAAACGACGAGTGCTACTGGTGCTTTGTGCATGACAAAATGTTCGTAATCGCTTAATTCCGCACTAATGACGACGTTTTCGGAATAATTACTATGTTAAAACAAAAGTGAAGCGCAGTTCAGGTTTTTGGCGAACGGCTGTGGATAACAATTTTTTCGACGCACAATTGGCATTAAAAATATTCGCGGCCGCACAAAAAAGTACCGCGCATATGCCACTGTTGACCTCAAGCCAACAAAACGATATACTCTTACCAAGTATTCCGCCTAACGCGATAGATTTCGTTTTATAAATAGACAATTTTCCAGGATTTGTTATCATCGCTTGTGTATAAACGAACATTTCATCAATTCTCCACAGTCATTCCAGCCGTTTCGCGGTATATTCCCGTTTGCTTTTCCAATCATAATCGGTGTTCGTGGAATACACACACATTTGTCAGTCATCGGATGCTCCGTCCTTAACAAACGCGAAGCTAAGGCTTCGTTCACACTCTCGAAAAAGCGTTCTTGATATTTAGGTGTATTGAGTGCCGATACTTAAATCTTGGGGTGTTATGTTAACTTTTCTTGCTCAAATCACCCCAAGATTTAAGTATATATATATATATATATATATATATATATATATATATATATATATATATATATATATATATATATATATATATATATATATATATATATATATATATATAGTGTTCAAAGTGTTTTCGAAGCGCGAGCATTGAAGATGCCAAGTGAGATTTTGGCGAAACATCTGCAGGATTCCAGTCGGATGCAGGATTCCAGTCGGAGTTCAACGAGCGAACGGATGATATCCCGGAATATAGTGTCATCATATATATATATATATATATATATATATATATATATATATATATATATATATATATATATATATATATATATACAGGGTGGTGACGTGAGGGATATTCAGGATATTCTCAATTTATCTAGTACTAAGTTCAGCATTTTCATCCTTATAATTTAAAACTGATTCAATTTCTGGAGTTCTTACTCTTTTAAATGATTGTTTTCCCTGAAAGTACCTGTTTCGCTCAACCTTCTATGTATATGTATATACATCTGAAAATGTTCGTCTATTAGGAAAGCGCTCTAGCCTAGCTTCCGGCGCACTCTAGTAAACTCGACCATTCTTTTTTGAAATAGCAATGCTAGGATATTAATAAGACGCAAAAACTAAATTTAAAAACAGATGTCAACCGCCTTGATAACAGAATTAAGAATTCGTACACACACAGCCTTACTACAATGATAATTTTTTTTTGTAGTGTTTTAATAAAAGAGATACACAATTACTTAAGTAAGAAATACTAATATTAATAATTTTCTGCATGCTGTCAAATTAACGATATTGTTATGACCCTGCAGAGAACAGAGGTTTTTATTTTTTTAAGCGAAAACCGTACATCGGGTTGAAAAAAAGCAGAAAATTAAATTATTAAATAATGCTAGTTGTGACATAGTACATGTGTACCAAATTTCATTAAAATATCTAAAGTTGTAATTTTTTTGGTAAATTTTACCACGCTGTATCTCAATAGTTAAAACGTTTAGGACATAATATTTCCATATAAAGTTTTCTTTTTAAAATGGACCCAAAAATCGCCCCCATAATTATTGACATTCGATTCGAAAACAACCTGTAGACCGAGAATGTAGATTCGCAAAACATGTTTTGAAAATGCATACAGAGAGGCCATATGAATCCAAAAACTCATTTATCAGCACCGATGCGTAAGCAGAAAATTCAAATCAATATTGTGTGAACCGTTGGTACATTCACAGGGTTTATTATTGAGACAGGGGTCCTTATATGCCAAGCATTGATGCTCGACGAATTCAAAAGTTGCAGAAATCTTCACTTTCATCAGTCACACTCTGAAACTCAATAATTGGCTTAAGATGTACATTTTTTTATACCATACTTAAGTTCAAAAAGCCACCCCTACCTCTACGCTATGAGAACACAAATTTTCGAACAGATATACAAAACGTTCGTTTTAGGGGTTTCCTTAAACGCTCTCTTCATTCGACGGAATTGTGCTTTCTTACCAGTGTGTAAGAATAATGAATACATGTTATTTAGAGTTAGGAAGCTTAAATACTAAACCATCGTTTTCAGGAAATTGAAATATTAGAATTTGGTTCGATAATTTTTTTACTTAAATCTAATGTATTAAATATAGATTGGAGACTGTTGCTACTATTGTATTATGACATGAACTACTACTGAACTATACTATTAATTTTTAAGTATCTTCAACGAAGAGGAGCTCTTTCAGAAATATTGTAGAGTTCCAGTGGACCTATTTCGTAATCCACATCCTTTTGTTGGGTTTTATCTCATTCTGTCATTAGTCAATCCATCAGTAAATAGAACAAGAAATCAATTCAAGCTAGTTACTTCATGAATTATTTGCCTGGTGGCTGAAGTGGTGAAAAATTGTGACCTTTGAAGAGAAATTGATTAGTCTCTGGAAAATTTCCTGATGGTTTCATTAGGATTTCTGGCTCTCCCATCAGTACAATTTGGTAGTACTTGTTTTCTGGTTTGTCTTGGTGCAAAAACTTGTTGCCAACTTAAATGAGTATTGCGAGTTTCTTTTGTCAATTTTACTTTTTTAATTTGGTTCGCAGTGGATTTCTTGCAAGCTGTTATGGACCTCCCCCATCTAACGGTGAAGCACTCAACACATCATTAAAAAACTATGGAAATCATCGCGTTAACCTTTGTCGAACGGCGAGTTTGCGCCATATTCGACAACTCAAAAAATCAACAAACCATAGTTTTGCCTCTTCGGCTCCTTTACGGAGAAATTTCTCACGAAGCGGCATCACTGACCCGCGGTCGATCTTGTGTTTGTCTTTGGTCGCGATTGTTTGCAAACCGTAAAATGTTTGTTATCTCGTCAAACATGATCTGTCTTGTTTGTCGAAATGGACGTTCGCCTCGTCTATGTTGGGCCGCCAGCTTTGGTAAACATCGTACGTTTTTCAGGAACGCTTTGTGCAGACATGTGTCGCCGCCCTTGTTTACCCTTATAGTTCGTCTTAATTTCCTATAGATGATTGACATGTAATTGGTGAAATCGTATTGGCCCGGGGGCTGCAATAGGCCTGGTAAAGTTAAAGTGACAGATATCAGCTTTTGTGACGTAACCCCTTTGTAGGTGCAAGCTTTGTAGAACCTCAATTAATTGCTTTTTGGTATAAT